AAAAGGACATGGACAGAAACCAGCGAAATCTGGCAACCCTGCACGTGGGCAACAATAAACAAAATGTCTCATGGGCCACACATAGAACCCCGATGGGCCACATGCAGCCTCCAAGCCCCAGGTCGTCCATCATGGTGCTAGGAGATTTTTCACTAGAACAGCTGAAGAACTATAGGAAAATGCTGATGTGATTCAACTGAAATGTTTTACAGGAGTTCATTGAGTCAGAGAATCGTAATTAGGGTTGGAAGAGACCTCTGGAGGTCATCTACTCTATTGCAATGTTTTGTTTTGACTTTTATGCTACTGTGTTACAAATTAGAACACCCTTGTTGAAGTGAAGTATTTCGCTGAAGTTGAAACGACATTTTTTGGACTATTTTTAGTTTGCAAAAAGCAACAACTAAGACTTCAACATTTTGTCCTCATCAGGATCGGGATGAAATACTTTGAAATACTGTTTTCTGTAAGGGGCAAATCCTGCATTTTTAGCCAGCTGTACCAGCAAGCATCTATTTGATTTATGTCGAACTGTTCTCACCCGGTGAAAATCAAATTTGACCCTAAAGAAAAGGAACTAAAATCTTGGTGCTGATGGCAGTGGTATTTGACACTTTTCCCTTACACAATCTGACTCTGTTTAAAAGGCATTTTTAAATAAGAACATCTACTGCAAGGGTTGGATTAAATAGCTCAAGGGGGGACAAGAACTTAGGCCCTGTTTCTGCAAACACTTGTTGTTGTGCTTCATGCCACACGTCTGAGTAACCCTACTGACATCAATGGGACCACACATGGTGCTTGATGCGAAGCATGTGCGGGAGAAAGCATTGTGGTATAGCTGTTGTTCCCTCAGCATGGGGTCTCTGGAGCGCTGCGCTCACCAGATGACTTGGAACAGTCCCATGTAGGAAACCCAGGTTATAAAATGCCATGGATTTTCTTGGAACAATGGTCTTTTGTTGACATTTTGAAATTTTGCTGAAGTAAAATTGGCCCGTTCTGGAGCTAGCTAAAGATCAGGCCAAACTCAGACAGAAACCATTGGTCAAAATCTGAATCTTTGAGAAATCTCATTGAACAATCCACATGGGAAATATTTCAGCCAGCTCTAGCCCTAGGAACCATTGCAGGCGGCTAAGACAGCAGCTAAGGCTCTGCACAGGGTAGGCCCCATGGGGCACTCTGATGAAGAAATCTGTGAGCTCCTGCTCAACCCTTTGTGGCTCTAGTAGTGGCTAAACAGTCCTAGGTCTCCTGGGTTCTTCTCCAAAAGCCAGAGGCCCACCATTCCACTAGACTTCAACTCAGGGCCCGTGCTTGGAACAGCCAGAACCAGCCCTTCACTCTTCCCTGAGCTACTTCCTACCTGAAGTTTTCAACAGCCTCCTGCCATGTTTCTATCTCTTTAAGGGGCCTTGTCTCTCACTAGTCTTCTGGAGGTATCCTCTCCCTGCAGTTTCTCTGGCAGCCATCTTCTCAGGAGTCTTTCCTCTACCTGAAGGTCTTAACATTTGGCATGTCTGGCAGCTTCCCTGCCTAATGAACTACCTCCCAAGCTCAGGGTATGTCTACACTACCCTCCTAGTTCGACCTAGGAGGGTAATGTAGGCATACCGCACTTGCAAATGAAGCCTGGGATTTGAATTGCCCGGGCTTCATTTGCATCTTCCCGGGCGCCGCCATTTTTAAAACCCCGCTCGTTCGAACCCCGTGCAGCGCGGCTACACGGGGCACAAACTAGGTAGTTCGAACTAGGCTTCCTAGTTCGAACTACCTAGTTTGTGCCCCGTGTAGCCGCGCTGCACGGGGTTCGAACGAGCGGGGCTTTAAAAATGGCGGCGCCCGGGAAGATGCAAATGAAGCCTGGGATTTGAATTGCCCGGGCTTCATTTGCATCTTCCCGGGCGCCGCCATTTTTAAAACCCCGCTCGTTCGAACCCCGTGCAGCGCGGCTACACGGGGCACAAACTAGGTAGTTCGAACTAGGCTTCCTAGTTCGAACTACCTAGTTTGTGCCCCGTGTAGCCGCGCTGCACGGGGTTCGAACGAGCGGGGCTTTAAAAATGGCGGCGCCCGGGAAGATGCAAATGAAGCCTGGGATTTGAATTGCCCGGGCTTCATTTGCATCTTCCCGGGCGCCGCCATTTTTAAAACCCCGCTCGTTCGAACCCCGTGCAGCGCGGCTACACGGGGCACAAACTAGGTAGTTCGAACTAGGCTTCCTAGTTCGAACTACCTAGTTTGTGCCCCGTGTAGCCGCGCTGCACGGGGTTCGAACGAGCGGGGCTTTAAAAATGGCGGCGCCCGGGAAGATGCAAATGAAGCCTGGGATTTGAATTGCCCGGGCTTCATTTGCAACTTCAAATGCCTACATTAGCCTCCCTAGTTCGAACTAGGAGGGTAGTGTAGACATACCCTCAGTGAGTTAACTACTCTCAGGTGGACCTGAGTGGCTTCATTTCCCCTTGTATAGCCTGTCAGATGTAGCTGGTCCACTGAGACCTTAGCTACCCTCTGATACACTCCAACAACCGGCAGTGAGCGTGCTCCTCCCAGAGCAACCCAGACACCCTGCCGCTGCGATTCACCCATCACCAATGCTCCAAATGACAGAGAACCTTCCCTCTGGCTGGCGGTAGCTCTGTGGACTGAGAAAAGAGCACCATGTATTATACTGCTCTCTGGTCAACTATTCTTGCTAAGCAGATTCATATCTGAGCCTGATTTCTTATTGTGTAATGCTTTGTTTGCAATGTTCTAGCCTGTTTTCCTTGGATATCTTCGTTGAGGGAGAGCTGGTCAAAAGATCTCTGACAGAGCAGTTTTTCCTCCAAAAATACCATTTCATCAAAATCAAAACGTTCCCCTGGGAGCACGTTGCTTTCGATGAAATTTTGTTTTGAAACTCTCCGAAAGAAGTGGGAAGAGGTCAAACCATTCTGACCCATGTCGGAATGGACCATTTTGCTTTTTCTTTCAAAGCGACGTTGTTTGGAAATACGATCGTACGATATAAAAGTCAAAACATTTCAATTGGATCAAAACAAAATGTTTCAACTGACCCCAAACTTTTGTTGTTGTTGTTCCATTTGGGAACAAACACAGATTTTGAAATGTTGGCAACTCCAGCTCTTGAGCAGCTCCAGTGTTGGAATTGCGTTTTGTTGGTTCATTTTGAACTTTTTAAATTGTCTCCTTCTGCTCAGAATTTCTCAGTCTCTTTACCTCTCCCCACAGCCTTCGTTTTGTTTACATAAGTCCTAGTGCCGTGCAAACCCTTCTTGTGTTCACTGTACATTTTTAGCCTCGCCATATTGTTCTTTTAACAAAAGTAGGCTGTGGCCACCTGTGGGGTGTAATACATGCAGCAGTGAAAGGCTGTTGGAGGAGGAAGGCCGGGGACACCACACTGCTAAAAAAAAGCCACCCAGACATTGTTTGGTGTGTAGAGAACTGGGCCAGGTATAGGCCCCAAGGTTCTGACATGTAGCCAGTGCCTCCCTGCCTGCACAGCTGTTCCCACCTGTGCTGGTGGGGCACACGGCATCTGTTCCAGTCTATACTCCACTGGTCATCCAGAACAGCTTCAAATCAGGTGAGGGCAACGTTGGTTTCCAGTCAGCCTCAGGCCCCCCTCCTAGGGCCTGTGCCACTTGGTTTTTCCATCCAGGGTTTAGTGGTTGTGGTCTAAAACATTGGGGCCAGATTGTAAGCTGGTGTAAATCTGCATCGCTCCTTTGACTCCAAAGCCCTTCTGCTGATTTACAGACATCTGATATTTCTGATTTACACCCACTGAGCATTGGGCCCCCCTCTTTCTGCCCTAATGGAGCAGAGGAGAACTGTTATGAGTGGAGGTGAGGACCAGGCGAGGCACTTAGTCCCAAGAGCGGCTGGGAAACACTTGCTAGGAAACTAGCTAAGCAGTTGGCTGGGATTGCAACAGGGCCCAGCGTTCTAATAGTGAGCAGCCAAACAAGTATGCAGGGATTAGCTAGCCAATGAAGCTCTATGAAAAAACCAGTCAAGGAATAGGAGCTGCAGGAATCAGAGAATAAACACATGGAACATTCCTTGGCATGTCCATTCCAAACAGCCGTAAGTCCCGAACGCACATCCCGCCCTTCAGTTTGGCTTCTGAACTGGCGCTGTCTCCCTGGTTTCAGCAAATCATCCCTCCGAAGCAAAACCCACAAGCATGTGCTGAGCTTCAGGCAGAGGCTTAAGATAAGGTGTGAGCATGTGGTTAAAGTTAAGGCAGTGCTTCAATGCTTTACGGAAATCAGGGCCTTCTACTGGTACTCGGAAGAGGCTTCCATTATGGAAGGAATGGAACTATGAGCTCTTCCTCTCAATTTCTGAGCAACCCTTGGGAAATCGCTCAGAGCATTTCCTCTCCATAGTCATGGATGGAAACAGAAGCCAGCAAATGAATGAGCAGTTCTTTAACAATCCAGTTGTCAGTCTACCTCGCATCTTCACCATGGGCAGCAGATAAAGGCCCAGCTGGGGAAGGCAAGCCCCGCCTCTTCTTCCCAAAGCCACACCTCTTCCCGAGACCACGCCCTTTCAACAACCTCCCTCCGACCGGCCAAGCCCTCAAGCTCAATCCTTCCTGGCCACCCAGAGGGCCGAAGCTGCTGTGCCAGGTCCCAGCCCTCCCCGGCAGCCAGGCAGTATAGGCATTTTTGGGAAGGCAATGCCTTCCTTTGCCTACATTATCCACCGCTCATGACCTTCCCTGAACCTAGAGTTGACATCAGGAGGAAGATTAAAGCCTCCCATCCAAATGATGCCACTTGCTTTTCTTGCGTTTGGGTATCCTGAGTAAATCTCCGTCGCTCAGCCTTCCCCCGGGGTAAATGTTTCCATTTGGGGTTGTGAATAGTCCGGTCATTGTTGATCCTTAGCACATGTTGGTGTTGCTTTGATCCATGCTTCGGGCTTGAAGAAGGGATGTCCTTCCTTCTGATGTTCCCCCTCCTTTGTCCCCATTACACTCCTCAGAAATGAGGCAGAAGGGTGGAAATATAAATAAGAATTTACCTCTGGATTCCTTCATGCTGCCACAGGGAAACAAAAACGGTTACATCTACGACTCACCTGTCTTCGCTCATCCCTTGACCAATGCTAACCTCGCGGCCATATGGAATTCAAATCCTAAATTTGATCCTTTGGAGTCAAAATCAGACCCGCTCGCTTTTCCGATGGCATTCTGAGCCATGCGTTCTAATGGGAGAGGATAAAAAGGAAAAGTTCAGGGAGAAGACAGAGGTTGTCAGAGGCAAAATGACAGCACCAAAATCTGTGACAGAGCTATCTGAAAAGGAGACTGCAAATGTAGCTGCCATGTATTGCAAACTAATGAAAATGGAAATGCCATTAAATGAAATCCCTTGAGATCCTGGAGTGTGCTTGAAGATTTAGAATGTGAAGAACTCTTTAACTATTTTTTAATTCTTATGTAGAAATTCATCTTCCATCCACTACCTTCATAGTATTTTAAGCACTCTTCTGAAAGCTGCTCATTCTAAATGTGCTTTGTCCCTGCCTATCTTCATTAAACCAGTTATAGCCAAGTATGATAGCAAGCAGATTATGAATATGATGGCGCATGGATGATTATGGGTAACTTCTTAATAAAAGATGTCATATTGCTCCAGATTATATTAATTATTATTATTGTTAGTTTTTTGTGAAACTCTTTGATTATTGTGATGATTCTGATATTTTTATGGCGGGGGGAAATAGACAGGAGGGGACTTTTCTTGTGTTCTTTACCAAGAAGGAAAGGATTAATTTATTTTCTTGAAACAAATCAAACAGTGCAGTAACTAGGGGGAAGTCGCTAAGCACAAATGAACCATCAGGAATTCACAGCAGCAAAGGAGAAGGAACTTCATCACCTCTAGGCAGGAAAACAAGTCTGCGGAAAGTCTTCCCGGGGGCGGGGAGGCAAAGACTAGATTTAAGTGGGTTCAAGAGGCCCAGCAAAATGAGAACTCTATCAAATGGGCAGGCTAGTACACAGGAGGAGTCTCTCTCCCTGGATCCAAGAACTGACATGAGACTGTGCCCAAAAGGGAGAATCCACAGTTGGAAGGACTTTGACACATACCAGGTGGAAGACGGATGACGCTAGGTCAGGCAAATCCCTGCTCTGGAGAAAGAGCAGGATGGGCGCCTGCCCTGAGAAGGCCACTAGCTGGAGGTCTGAGTGGGGGCCAGGAAGGGGTCAGAGGTGCAGTTATGCTGGAGGGCTCACAAACTGATCACGCATGAACATTCCCCCTAACAATGTATCCCTTGTGTGCCATGAGGCTGGGTAGGATGTTGCAAGATTCCCAGCACTGGCCTAACACCGCTCCCATTGGAGCCAATGGGATTTTCACCACTGACTTTAATGAGAGCTGAGTTAGACCAAGCGATTGTTTTTGAAAAACCCAGTCCCTGGGCTTTGCACTTCTTCCCACCCGTACTGCTATGCGAAGGGATTTCCTCCTTTTTGTTGTGTCTGGAAATGCGTCTCATCAAGATGCTGTTCAGTTTTTCTATTAGCATGGGGAATGACTTTGCAATCAGGGGAGCAAATCTACCGAAAATAGCAGAGACACTGTCAACAAGACGTTAGGAATGCTGTTAGCAGTAACAACATTGTAAAGAAAGACTGTATCACCACCCACGACATCCCTCCAGGTGCTAGCTAATCAAACAGGTCCTGCATAAACACACCTCTCCGGAGGAGCGGATCTAAACAACTTACAAACTCTCTCTAAGTTGGAACATACCCAAGCCAAAGAAATCAGATTCCCCTATGGTAGGAATGGCACATGACAGAAAAGGCAAAGGGGGTGTTGAGAATAGGGATGTTACCTTTCGATTAATCAGCTAATCGAATAGTTGATGGAATTTCCCATGGGGGGGAGGGAAACCATCCTTTAAGATAGAGGCAGCAAGGGGGAGACGGAACTAGTCGAATTCCTACTTGACTACCCCATAAGCATTTGCTTATCGGACTTGACTAGTCGCTTACATCCCTAGTTGAGGACTGGGATCGATAATGTTCAAATCAGGCATTTCCAACCATGAAAGGGCCTGTTAGAAAACTGTGTAATGAATGGTGTCAGTCAGAAATACATGTTAACTAATATTAGAGAAATGAAGCGTTTATGCATACTGTCAGGGCTGTTCCCCACTCCGGCACTCCAAGCGCAGAAGATGGGGGCCCGCAAGTGACCTTAAACACCTCTATAGGCTCTACTTACAAAAACTCCCCAGAGTCACAGTTTTACTGACTTTGGGGGGTAGCTGCCACCACCAAGTGAAACAAAAGAGAAAAAAACACCTTTCTTCTTGAACCCAGGAAGAAAGCACTTGGACTTTCTTCCCCAAGGATACTCCAAACTCCTCTACCACAAGAGAGCTTGAAAAAAAGAAACAAAACAATATCTCTCATAGCAGACCTCTCAGGCTAGGCAGACACACACAGAGACCTCCTCTTTCTTTCCAGGACACAAGAATCAAATCATTGCCTTAAAAAAAAGTGATTTTATTAACAAAACAAAGTTATGCTTGGCTGCTAAGCGTGACAGAGCAACTGAGTAAAATAAATGAAAACACAGAGAACATCTCTGGATATGCTCTTAGACAGTGAATGGGGGAGGGAAGGCATAGATTCACACAGAGAAGTTTAACCAAACTACCAAAACAAAGAAAAATGACCCGATTGCAGCTAAATACACATTTCCCCTTTATTTACTCATGATCCCTTCCTGGTTCAGTCCACTTCCGTGCCTCAAATTGGAGGCGTGGTAGTCCTGCCTGGGTTTAAATCATGCTGTTTTTTTCACCTCCTGGCTTAACTCTCCCACAAAGAAAACAGGCAAAGTATCTTATACAATTCAAATTTCAGCACTGTATCCCATTGGTTCTCCTGGCCCCCTGCTAGCAACCTGAGTTTAACCCTTTAATCACCAGGTGCTGGCCAGTACCCTCTTGTCCATCACACATACGGAAAAAGAAAATATAAAGGAATTTTTGCTTTTGTATGTGGTTTTGCTAATGCAGCATTTTGGAACACCGTTGAAACAGCTTCAGGGTTGTGTGAAACCTGGTTTGTGTCTCTTCCTTGGTAAAGCCTTTGTCTGTGTAAATAGCAGGGTGAAACAGAACGTTGTGTTAATGTCAGGTGCCGCCCTCTCCCAGACAAGCCAACAAGCAAAAAAAACCCAAAGCTGCAAAAACAGACCAGCAAGCTAAAACAACCTGATGGAGCCAGTGGGATTAACAGCCAAAACCAGGAAGTAGAAGTAGCCAAATGTAAGTTTGAGCAGCGTAAGCCAAATTTGTTCCCTGTTGTGATTTGTGTCTAATACGTTTTAGCCAAGGGGTTTAGAATGGATAGGTACATAGATGAGGTAGCTGAGTAATAGAATCTGCATCAAGTTACAGAACAGGTTATAAAGGATAGCAGCTGAAAACAAGAGGGTGCAGAAGACACGGGCAGAACATAGCAGGAGTAGAGATCTAGGGGAAAAACATCACCCTGTCCCCAAAAGAGGGAACTTGGTCAGTGACTCCTCTTCCCTGATCTGTTTTTGCATGTATAAGTAACTCCTACATGATAACTGCATGGTCTTAAAATATACAGGTTGGACCTGGCCCGGCACCCTTGGGACCTGACTGGTCTCGGATGGGGAATTTTGCTGGAACAGGGGGGTCATCTCTAGCCCCCCTTCTGCCAGCTCTACAACCTGCACTGCCACCCCACTGGCTCCCGCAGGGATCCCAACTGGGTTACGTGCCGGACCACGGATGTTGCTGAACCAGAGAGTCCCAGTTCACAGAGGTGCAACTTGTAGAAAGTAAAGGCTACAAGAAACAGTTGAAACCTAAATTAGAGTGGATCCCGGCTGTCGCCCAACAGCCCATATTGCTTCTTTAAAAAAAATCAAATTTAGAAGACAAGAAATGCCTGTCGTTCAACTGGGCTAGGAGCAGAGGTCAAGAACAGGCATCATGGGTTGTAAATCCCTTGATCTTCTCCCACTGCTAAGTAGGATGGAGATTTTGGGGAGGACGGGGGTCCAAGTATGGAGAAGGATGACTGGCGTAACCTATGTCCCTACAAGGGAAATCTCTCTTTTGGAGACCTAGAGCAAAGCAGGGCCATTGGTGCTGATGCACAATTAGCATCCCACACTGCAAGTGGGCATGGTAGTTTGAGGCATGGTCCATAGGCTCTCAGGAGCTGGACTGATAGACTCCATCGAGGGCAAGTAGTCAGGGCAGCTGCAAAAGGACACGGGACCTGTGCTGACCCAAGGAGCAGAAAGTCAGCAGGTTTCTCCAAACAAAAGTATTTTGCAGCAGTTCGGATGACAGTTAACGTTCCACCAGGGGAGCACCAGCAGTGTGAGAGACAGAAAGGGGAAATGGGGAGGGAAAACCAATCCTTCCCTTTTACTTGCCTACCTCACATGCTATTTGATGTTAGCTAAGCTGCCTTAACCCATCTGGTTCATCAGCCCTTTCCTCATTTCTGTGGGATGACAAGGAAAGAAGCATCGATCTTTTGCTCTTCTCCATTTTGTATTTTTCTTGCTTACACATCCTGGCTGCTGACGAGCTAATTGAGTGATTGCACTACCCAGACACTGCCTGGGTTCCCATGGGAGATTTCTGCAAGCAAGAGGAGAGAAGATATTACTGCAGGGCTTTTGAGTCCGCAGATTGTACAGTGCTGATGAACAGAGAGTAAATGGGACTTGAGTGGGCTCACCCTAAGCGTGTGGAACGGGGAGTGCTTCCCATTGCGTTTCTGACCCGTTTAGATTCCATTCGGTTTTTATTTTTTGTTGTGGATGTGTAACTGTGGATTCTTCATCGAGTAGCATCCCCGTGGGTGCTCCACTGAAGGTATTGGGCTCGTCCCGGCGTCGCAGTCCGGAGCATCTTCATCAGCAGTAGCCCAGCCGGACTGAACATGCGCGTGTTGTCTTGTGCTGTTCACGCCCTTTCATGGAGAGTGGTCCAGCCTCATCAGTTCCTTCCTAACTGTTCATGGCCTTAAATAGAGTCAGGACGAGCCCCCTCTCCGCTCTGAGGCGAATAGGAAAATAGAAATAGGAATAGAAATAATTAGTTCATTCATTCACAAGTTCTCATAGAATCATAGAGCTGGAAGAGACCTCAGAAGGTCATCGAGTCCAGCCCCCTGCTCTAGGCAGGACCAATCCCAACTAAATCAACCCAGCCAGGGCTTAGTCAAGCCGAGACTTAAAACCTCTAGGGAGAGAGATTCCACCATCTCCCTAGGTAACCCATTCCAGAGCTTCACCACCCTCCTAGTGAAATAGTTTTTCCTAATATCCAACCTAGACCTCTCCAACTGTAACTTGAGACCATTGCTCCTTGTTCTGCCATACGTCACTACTGTGAACAGCCTTTCTCCAGCCTCTTTGGACCCTCCCCTCAGGAAACGAGCCACTTGCAACATGCGATCTCAGCACGCTCACTATAAAGGTGGCATTCTTGCGTGCCATAACCTTGGCACGATGGGTGAGCAAGTTAACAGCTCTCTTTGCTGATCCACCCTACACATTATTTACTGAGCACGGGGTAGTGCTTCGCGTTCACCCTCCCTTTTTACCAAAGGTGAACTCCATCTTTCATATAAACGAACCCATAAGCCTGCCGAGCTTCTACCCGAAACCTCATTCCACCACGGAAGAGACGTGCTTACATACACTGGATATCAGAAGAGTGCTGGCCTTTTAGCTTGAAAGAACACACGTTTTCCAAAAATCACAGCATCTTCTCTTATCTACAGCAGAACGTTCAAAAGCCCAACAGCTCTCCGCACAATGCATTTCCAACTTGATCGTTTCTTGCATCACGTTACGCCTCGCGCAACAGATCTCTACCACACCAACTGCAAGCCCATTCCACTAGAGGGATGGCCACCTTAAGGGATGGCCCATTCCACTAGAGGGATGGCCACGGCTTACCTTAAGGGCGCACCACTACAGGACATGTGCCGCGCAGCAACCTGGTCCTCTACTCGTACCTTCGCCAGACATTACTCCTTCGCAAATATACTGAAGAATGATTATGCAGTGGCCCAAGCAGTCCTATCCACAGCACAGAGACCATGAGTCTGAAGCACATTAATAGCACTGGACCATTGCTACGTACTCACCTTCAGTGGAGCACCCATGGGGACACTACTCAATGAAGAAGAGAGAGTTACTCACCTGGTGCAGTAACGTCTGTTCTTAGAGATGTGTCCCCCTGTGGGTTCTCTATGTCCCGCCCTCCTCCCTGCTTCAGAGCTAGGGTTCTGATCTTTTTCAGATGCTCCCGGCTAGGAGAAAGTGACAGAGCCGGACCGTGCTCTGCGAAAGGGCGCGAACGGCACGAGACAGCATGTGCACTCTGGCTGGGCTTCTGCTGATGAAGATTCTCTGCACTGTGGCACCGGGACAAGCCCGACACCGCTTCTGCTGATGAAGATTCTCTGGACTGTGGCACCGGGACAAGCCCGACACCATCAGTGGAGCCCCCACAGGGGGACACATCTCGAAGAACAGATGTTACTGCACCAGGTGAGTAACTCTCTCTTACGAAGTACCCTTGTTATTGACGAGCAATGAAGCTGTTGCTGTGTTAGCTGTGTAAAGTTGGTACGTAAGAATCTAAGTTTGTCCCTCTGGTTCTTTCTGGATTTTAATGGGGGGAGATTGACTCTAAGCAGTCCTTGCTGAAACCCCTCAGCGAGTCAATTTTGGGTCTCCATGCACTTTTCTGTAGAGGTCGTGCTGAAGTGCTAGGAAAGGGGCAGTGAGGTGACACTCTAGTCTGCCAAAGGGAACACGGGCACTGGTCCATCTCCCCATGAAGCTAATGGATGGACTCCCATGTGGGTCAGGCCCTGCACTGCTGTTGTGTGTCCCTTTAAGAAGTGGGCACCTGCTTATCAGCCCAGGATTGGGGGTTGGGCTGCATAGAACTGGAAGGGACCTCAAGAGGTCAACAAGTCCTGTCCCCTGCCCTCAAGGCAGGATCAAGAACCATCTAGATCATCCCAGACAGGTGTCTGTCTAACCTGCTCTTACATGTCTCCAGTGATGGACATTCCACAACCTCCCCAGGCTGTGTGATTAAGGAGACTTGCTCACTGTTTTCAAGCAAGAAATGCTCCAGAGATCTACATTAAAGAGAAACTGGGACATGAAGAAGAGGCCTGCAATGTGTCCTGAGTCTATTTTAGCTTGACAGGCCCCTAGTCTGAGCTCAGCCGAGAGGGCTTTAGAAAGGAGTCCGGCAACGTATGTTCTGCTCTACTGCAGCGCCAGTATCTCTGTCTCTCTCTCTCTCACACACACACACACTCCACAGCAAAGCAACAGGCACCAAAGTCTGTGGGCAGTGGTGACTTCCCACCCCGCTCAAATGGGGCGATTCCTCTTCTGCAGCAGGATGAGCTGCCTTAAAGACAACTGGCTCGAGTCCCTCCCCTGGGATGGGCTGGAACACGCGCCTGGAACGTAGCTGTGAAATAGCTTCTTTGATGCAAAACCAGAAACTGCCCTGAGGTTTTCTGCTGAGCCACAAGCATGGGAACTATGCATGCGTGGGGTGTTGCAGCGTCCCATTTATGTGCAGGGTCCCAGCCGCCATCCCTTCCCTGGGGTCTCAGTACTGCTGGCCCCATGTGTGGGGCTCCGCTCCTGACCTTCCTCGTGGGTCCCGGCTGCAGGATCCAGGCCCAAGGCTCTGTCCCTGGCCCCACATGTGGGATCCCAGCTGCCCCATGCCTAGGGCTCTCCATGACCCTTGGTCCTGATACTTCTGTTCACCTTTATCCGCACACCCCCAAGCCATGGCCCACTCCTGGCCCCAGCTTAGGGGGTAGGGGAGCAAGGAGGCACAAACAGTAATAAGGGGGAGGGGGACTACTGGCTTCAGGACCCCACTGCAAAACCTGTTCCAGCACCACCGTGCTGAGCCAGTTACACCCTAAGTCCAGTTTGTAACGTGGGCAGGAATTTCCGGCGTTCCATCACTGGGTTGAAGCAGGTCGGCAGTAGGTTCAGGTCTGGTGTAGGACATGGTCAAGGTACCATCTACAATACAAATGGCAAATTCTGTAACCATGGGAGACACCGACTGTATAGCAACCTGCTCCACTCACTGTCTCAGTTGTAACCAGCACAGATGAGCCTTGTATACAACTAATTACTATCCTTACCAGGGCTTACAGGTGGTAGTCAAGACAAGGGATTGAGGAAGATAAGTTGTGGTACATACAGAAACATAGACAGGATGAATGTCAAACAGGTTTTCAACCTCCATGAGGAAGCTACAGCTGGCTTCACCGGCCACATGGTGATTTATCCCTTCATAAAGGCAAAATTGTGTTTCAATCCACTCCTACACTTGACCCAGTTGGATTTTTCTAGGCTAATTTGCTGAATCGGCTGTCTATCCCTATTAACGTGACATTAAAAGAGGTAGAGTTTGATTTCATTTCTGCATGCCTGTGTTTCTTTGCCACACTGGCAGCGGACCGGGCTCTTACAAAGAGTAACAATGGAACTGATGCTCGCTTTAAGGCTTCTTGAAAGAAGTGGTGGAAAATAGTCCAAGCGTCTGTTGAAAAGGAAATATTTTCCCCGCTGTCCAGGAGAGACGGCTGTTGGGTTCCGAGGAAAAGGAGAGAAACGCACTTTCTTCCTGCTAGAAAGCTGTCTCGCTCGCAAGGAAAGAGAGCTGCATGCTCACATTCCTTTCGGTCCGGACACCGCTCCGAGGGGGCTTCCCTTCAGTTCCGAACCACAAGCCCCTGAGACAAAATAAACAGCGTTGGTTTCGAATGCCTGGCGGAGCTTTATTTTTTTGTTCTCCTCTGCCAAACCCTGCACGCAAAAGACAGTTGATGAGGCAGATGGAGATCAGTGCCAGGCAAATAAAGCAGTTCATTTACAGCCTCGGCAGCACAGGGAGGAGACCGCGAGGGACAAATTGAATTAACATGCAGCCGAATGAAGAACTGGGACTTGAACACAATGTCCTGCTGTGCCGTTGTGTTGCAGTTGCAAGGCCGGATCGTCACAGACACACAATCTCCTTGAGTCCAAATTGCTGTCATCCAGAATCTTAAACAAGCCATTATGTTGGCGCTGGTGGGGAATGAACACCCCATCCCTCCCCTCACCCCACAAAACATTTTTAAAGAAAATGAAAACTTTCCCTTGAACATTTTTGTGGGTTTTGTCCCAAACTGAACATTTTTCAGATGAAACATTTGTTTGGTTGCCAGCCACTAAACAAAAAAATGGGTATTTTTACTCAAACTTCCGGAAAATATTGAAAACAGACATATCCAGGAGAAGGACAAAAAAACCCTTTTCCACTGATAAAAACCAGTGACAACGTTTTCAACCAGTTCTTGTTCTCAGGGCAGGAGGAAGGAGTGTTTCAAAGCACTCGGCCGTCTCCTAAGGCAGAACGACTGGGAATTGTATTATGAACTTGGAATGGGACCCAAGGTAGATCAACACTCAAGCCCCTAACTTCAAAGGCATTCAGGTTCCTGGCCACCACTGATGCCAAGAGGAGTCGGATGCCTAAACAGGGCTGGGTGCTTTTGAATATCCCACAGTGACGCTGCCAGACCATTGTTTCACGTACAAATGGACAGATGTGCTAGCAGATCCGCAACATTTCTGTCTCCTGAACAGTATCTTGCGGGAATGAGCAGCCAGGACAATCAGTTAACAAGCTGATGTTGCATTCAACCCCCCCTTCCCTCCCAAGTTGAATTTAAGAGATAGGACAGATTAGCCGTCTGCTCATCCACATAGATCCCACAGAGATAGCGAATGGACGGGGCAGCGGAAATCGTAGGCAGGGGAAGGCTTTGTCTTCCCAAGCCGCCAGCCTGGCCCCACCCACACTCCACCCCCAGAACGCCTACTATACACATAGTAGGGGTGGTGTTATTGCCCCTGAGTGCCCGCTTTCCCGGTGCTCCAGGGCTGGAGTTACATGTTGTCTGCCCACCCCATGCTCCGGGGCTGGGGAGGTTGGGGCCGTGTGCTGGGGGGTGGAGCTTGGCTCCTATGGAGGTGGGGCCTGGGCAGAAGGAGTGGAGCTGAGGGGAGGGTGGGGGCTTACCTCTCCCCTCCTTACCTTTACCTACAAGTGGCCAGAAGTTTAACTTCCTCGAGCATGGCATTTTCCACCACACTGTGATTTTCCCTGTGTTTAATACCTTCCTACCCCCACTTCAAACCCACTGGGTCCATTCTCGCCCCCAAAATAACCCATCGGGAAAAATTCAAAGTGGAAACAAGCCCCATCAAGGGCTGTTAACCATCGGAGCTGCCTTCCGCAGGCCATGATGGATTCTCCATCACCAGCCGTCTATAAATCAACTCTTTCTACAAGACGCACTCTGGCTCAACCACAAGTCACTCGGTTTGACGCAGGGATCAAGGTAAGTTCTCTGGCTTGAGTGAGGCAGGAGGTGAGATCACATGATAACGGTGGTCCCGCTGGCCTTGAAGTTCGACATTTAACAAAGGAATTTCCCCCTTTTTTAACCCACTCTAGGGTACGTCGAGACTTATTTTCACTTTTGAAAGAAGATATGCAAATTTGGCTGTAATTTGCATATCTTTTTCTGATCGCCTTTTTGAAAGTTTTTTTTTTAAAAAGAAAGCTGTTTAGATGCGGTTCTTTTGGAAAAAAAAAAAACCTCTTTTTTCAAAAGAACCTGTAATTCTCAATTTTTGAGGAAGTTTCTTTCGAAAAAAAGGGTTTTTTCTCTGAAAGAACCACATCTAAACTGCTTGCTTTTTTGAAAAAAAAAACCTCTTTCGAAAAAGCGATCAGAAGATATGCAAATTACTGCCAAATTTGCATATCTTCTTTTGAAAGTGAAAGTAAGTCTAGATGTACCCCCAGCGACCACCTCTGTTTCTAAACTGTGTCTTACACCAGCAACCGACATCATAAGCAAGCTTGAAAGGATTCGATTTTCATTGGTAAATGCACCTCTCGCTGTGCACGCAAACAGATGCTAAAATATTTCCATCAATAATAATCAATATTTACAGGTGGGCACAGAAAGAAAAATGCTACTGGAGGACTTATTCGAGTCTCAGGGTATGGCAATTTGCTATGCGTGTTTTGCACATGGTATTGACTGTGAGTTTCGTGGGTATGCAACTTTAATTTCTTGACTCTCACCATCTACTCTCATTAACTAATTGTCTTATCCGGACTGTTGTTTAACTGCCTCCTATCATTGCCTGCAACTGTGAAAATTTAAATCAGTAAAACTGGGGGGAGATGCTTACAGCAAAAGATGGGTATTTCGTCAGAATTATGACAAAATCAAATTCTGCCAAGCCTAATTATAAACGATGGTGCAAACCTGGACAGTGTTTTCAAAGTGATGTTGAGGTCAGCAATTAAAGGCCAATACAGAAGTGCCCTGTATTGTCAATATTACTTAGCAGTAATAGATGCCCTGTATCTTTAATAACTTCCTTTTGTTCTTCTGGTCCTAATTTTCAGCATCCTCATCACAGCGTAGCAAACCGACCAATCTCGTCTCCTTTGTTTCCTTGCATTCCCCTGCCCATCCGTAACTATCTCTTGTCTCTTGTTTTATACTTAGATTGGCATCTGCTTGGGGCAGAGACTGTTCACTCTGTACAGCACTTAGCATAACAGCGTCCTGTCCACGACTACGGTTCCTAGGTGCTACGTAAAAACAACTGAGTCCAGGAGTGCTGAGATTCTTAAGCATCTGTCATGCCTTACGACCCCAGGGCACGAACCAGGACCCGCTGCGTATGGCTCGGGTTAACGATTCTGCATGGGGCAGCGTGATTGAATCAGTGAAATAGATTTATTAGGTTTCTTTGGAAGCCTTCTAAGGAGAGGTCACTATGTACTCAAATAGCTACTGAATTACCATAATCATACACAGCTCCTTTTCTCTGCTGCCAGGAAACCATCGTCTGGCCCCCTCCAGCCCACGAAGGAAGGACGATCCTCGCTCCCCTTCCCTTTTTGGTATAACTCACATTTGCAGGAGGACACGCTGGTGGCTGATATTCGTGCATGGCTGCCAAGGTCTCTCGCTGTGGTTCTGGAGGATCAGCCTTGCCTGGGCTCACAGTGAGATGGTGGCTGCAAAAACCTCAAAGAGAGAACTAGGCCCCTTCATACTGTGCTTGACCTGCCTGCTCCTCTCAGACACGTGTTGCCCTGGCTCAGGCGTTCCTGTGCAGTCCGGATTCCTGGGATGTCCATGAGTCCTGCTAAGATAGTGCACACTGGGAAGCACCTCGTGATCCTGTTCATGGACCTCGGCAGGATGTACCCTCTGAACATAAGAACGGCCACACTGGGTCAGACCAAAGGTCCATCTAGCCCAAAGTCCCGTCTGCCGACAGCAGCCAATGCCAGAACAGAACAGGGAATCATCACATGTTCCCTCTCCTGTCATCCATTTCCAGACAAACAGAGGCTAGGGACACCATTCCTACCCATCCTGGCTAATAGCCATTGATGGACCATGAATTTGTCTAGCTCTTTTTTGAACCCTGTTAAAGTCCTAGTCTTCACAACATCCTCTGGCAAGGAGTTCCACAGGTTAACTGTGCACTGAGTGAAGAAAAACTTCCTTAGTCTCCTCTTTTCTAAGACAAAAAGTCCAAGTCTTTTTAATCTCTCTTCATATGGGACCCATTCCAAACCCCTAAGCATTTTTGTTGCCCTTCTCTGAACCTTTTCCAATGCCAATATTTTTTTTTTTGAGATGAGGCGACCACATCTGTACGCAGTATTCAAGATGTGGGCGGACAATGGTTTTAAATCTAATGCGTATGCAACGTTAAAGAAACGTTCTCTCTCTCCCAGCCCACACATACAGCCCCTGCCAGGAAGGCCCCAGTGGAAGCAGAGTTTAAAGCAGTACTGTCTTGTTGGTCTCTGCCCTTATGAGCAGAAGGGCCCCCGCAGTCACAAGGGGATTGCAAAGTGTCCATCTATGATCACCTGCTATTGCTCACAGAATGCAATGGGCAACGACACCTCCCTCTGAGCTCACGGCGCTTCTTCACCGCAGGGCTCTTGCGCCTCCCACGGATTGCCGACTCTGGAAGAGGTGAATAGAAAAATCCCGTTTCCATTGTTTTTACAGTGCAATTGTCACCAAAACCACCACAAAACGAGCCCTGTGCACTCCCTGTACCGTGTCGTAATTGAAATCAACGCAGAACACCTCCCAAAAGATTGAAAAAGTAACTTTCCATTGGTATTCTATTGGTTAACAATGCAATTCACAGTGAGATTCATTCCAGTTCTTTTTTTTTTAATTGAGATTCTTTTTTGAGTTAATCGACAGCCCTAGACTAACGCTAACTTATCTACGCCGGCAGGGCCTGACGAAATTCATCCTTAGGCTCTACAGGAACTAGTGGAAGCAATTATCTTGGAGAACTAATGGAGTGCAGGTATGGTCCTCAGGGCACCTATCTTTGAAAAAGTACCACCCAGGAAAAACAGACCAGTCAGACGCATTTCAATACCGGGAAAAATCCTGGAATAAATTATTAAACAATCAATTTGTTTAATTCTCTCCGTACTGGGAGAATAACAGGGTGATACGCAAGCGCCAACATGGATTTGTCAAAAGCAAAGCATGCCAAACCAACTTCATTTCTTCTTTGACAGGGCCGCTGGCTTAGTGGATGTGGGGAGAGAAGTAGTTTTCGGTAAGGTTACTAGAGAAACATGGTCCAGATGAAATCAGACAGGCACACAACTGGTTGAAAGACCATGCTCCGAGAGTCATTACTAGTGGTTCTCTGCCAAACTAGAAGGGCGGACTTCGTGAAATGCCCAGGGCGGTTATCCTGGCTCAGGTACGCCAGTATTTTAATGACTTGGCTAGTGGAGTGGAGTGCATGCTTACCAAATCTGTGACCAATGCCCTACTTGGAGGGGTTGCAAGCCCTTTGGGGACCAGGGTGAGGATGCTACCAAATGACCTTGACAAACTGGAGAATTGGACTGACATCAAGAAGCCGAAAATCAATAAAGACAAGTGCAAAGTACTACGCTTTGGAAAGAAAAAACAGATGCGCCGCCGCAAAATGAGGAACGACTGGCTAGTACGGCTGAAAAGGATCCTGGAGGTCAGAGCGGGTCGCAGATCAAATATGAGCCAACCATGTGATGCAGCTGAGGAAAAAAAGACTAATATTCTTGAGCGCATTAACCGCAGTGCTGTATGCCAGGCCAAGGAGGGAATTATTCCCGTGCTGCTCTGCACTGGTAAAGCCTCAGATGGAGGATGCATCCAATTCTGGGTGTGGGAGGGGTGCAGGGTCTGGGAGGGAGTCTGGGTGCAGAAGGGGGTTCTGACCCGGGGTGAGGGGGTGGGAGGGGTGCAGGGTCTGGGAGGGAGTCTGGCAAGGGGGGTTCTGACCTGGAGCACAGGGTTGGGATGCCGGAGAGGGTGCAAGGTGCAGGCTCTGGCTGGCAGACACTTACCACAGCTGGCTCCCAGCTGGCAGTGCAGCAGGGCGCTCAGGACCCTGGTGGCTGGTCCATGTGTTCCTGCCCCTCTCCCAGGTTAGACATCTCTGCCAGGAGTTCCACTTGCTCCCCAGAGGCTGGTCCAATCTTCTGCACCATGGTGTCTCTCCAGCCCCTCCCACTCTTGTCTGCAAATCCCTCCCCCGCGCATCTGCTTGGGAAGGGACATTGCCAGGGGCTGCTCCCGCCTCTGTAAGGGTATGTCTACACTAACCCCCCAGTTTGAACTACCTGCTATTCCTCCTGGAATGAGGTTTAACAGGTAGTTCGATTTAGGGCTTTATTTTGAACTACCGGATCCCTGCCGCGTGTAGACGCGGACTTGTAAAATTCAAAAATGGTGACCCGCCAGGAAGATGCAAATCAAGCGCGGGATATTTAAATCCCAGGCTTGATCTGCAACTTTGAATGCCTACATTAGTCTCCCTAGTTCGAACTAGGGGGCTAGTGTAGACATACCCTAAGAGTGCTGGGGTTGGATCCATGGTGGGGCTGAAACCAAGATCCATTCCCCACATATTTACCGTGCTGGGGAAACTAATCCCCCCCCTCTTCCACATGGTGGTTTGTGGTGGGGTCTGGCACCGATGCCGCTGTACCTAAGGAGAGCAGATGGATCGAGATCTAACACTGGGTTTGCTGTCTCAGGCACTCTCAGAGTCAGAGCCCCAATTCCACGGCAAATGCCCCTTATGTAGCCCTAACATCACAGCTCCTTGCTTCCAGTGTACCACGGACGGGTTTTCTTAGCTCCTTGCTCTCCCAGGACAGAACCCTGCCGCATTTCTACCCTAGAACGCCCGTGGATCTTACAACAAACTCACAGTGTGGGGAAAGGGGAGTGTTTCTAGCCAAATCATCTGGTTTTCATGTTGCAACAATCCCTCAGGAATCTGAATGGAACTTTAGCCTGTCTCCAAGTTTTAATTATTCTGGCCACGGTAAAATGAGAGTCTTGGGCTGGGAGGATATTGAGATTTCAGAGGTAGGACTGCAACTCTGGCACTACACTACCGGAGGGGGGCGAGGGGTGTAGGAGTTAGAAAACTTCCCGGCCAGACGACGTAGAGAGGGTCTTTCCTTCGACACGAGGCCTAGCAAGAGCAGATTTGTGATGTTCAGCCCCAGCCTGCAATGCATGGTTTCCGTGTGAGTTAAGTTTTAATACAAGCTGATTTCAAGAACGCATTCTTGTTCGGGACAGCTGTTCATTCTGTGCTGAATTGTCAGCAAGCAATTCTGTGGCTCGGTGGAGGATGGCCACTAGATGGGGAAGTGACTGCTTGCACCCCCCTAACCCAGACTTCTCTTGTTAGCTGTTGAGCTCTTAACTTCAATATCCTCCGAGCTTCGATTTACCAGAGCAGCATAATGTTGACTCGGGGTAGGTCTAATTCCGAAGGCTAATGGATTTGAAACACGTCATCCGTTGTGCACGAAAGGCAAGAGTGCTGTGTGATGTATGATGTTGGGCATGTAGATGGATGATGTCCATTAAGGCTAGAAATCTGATGATTTCAAAGGCATCATCAATGTTAATACACCCACAGCGTTTTGTCCTGAACTCGCTCCAATATAGATGATGCCACCATCGGCCTACAGATGACTAACGCGGTCGCACTCACATGACATACAGCTCAAGTCGAGAGTTTGGTTTACCCAGTGTTGATGAGACCCACGATATGGCAATGTTTTACTGAAACAAGTTTCCACATGACCGCCTCTTACAGCATTAAAACAGAGCTGTGGTGCTTGGTCCTTTTGCCAATGTTGGTATTGGCTCAACGCTAAGAACGTCTCGCTGAAAGACGAGGCAGCGTGGAAGGAAGAAAGGACCGACAGAGCCAATAATGTCCGAGGGGCAGCTCTCACCCAAACTGGAGAAGGCAGAGCGACCGATGTCCCTGAAGATTTCCGAAACTCCCAGCTTGTAGCTGGTTGCCGGGCGGTCACTCCGGAACATTCTTCCCAAGGGAGCAAAACCGCCTAACTTGTTTCAAGACTGAGCTTTATACGTTCACGGAGAGGCTGCCGTAACGAGACCTGCCTACAGTGGCATGTCGCTGAGTTGCGCCCGTCAGCAGCAAATCTTGCCGGTGGTTGGTGATGGGACACTTGCTGGGGAGGACTCGTTAGTACAGCAAATTCTTTCCCGTGTTGGGCTGCGGGGTCTTGCCCACATGCTCAGGGAATCACTTGTCGCCATATTGGGAGGCAGGAAGGAATCTTCCCCAGGGTCAGACAGACAGGTGGGTCTTTGTCTTTGCCCGCAACATGGGTCGCTTGCAGGTTTACACTAGCATTAATGGTGGATTCTCTCCCACTGGAAGTCTTTAAAGGGTGATTTGGGTCTTCAGTCACTCAGCCAGAATTGGGAGTCTAGGACAGGAGTCGGAGGGTGAGGTTCTGTGGCCTGGGATGCGCCACATGATCATGATGGTTCCTTCCGGCCTTACCCTCGAAGAGCTGGTGCGCACAAAAGTTGAATCATTTCCTTCATGTGATGTAGATTGATCTGCGTTGGTCTCAGTGCACCCTGGCAGCTTCTATAACCTGCCTCCCTCTGGGCAGTGTATGGGATTCTTTGACATGGAAGGACTAGGAGATGCAGTGCAGGGAAAGGAGCGGTTTAAACACTGAACGTTCTCTCATTGGGCTAAAAGGCAGTTTCCCCTTCTTCATCCACTTTAGAAACATTCCGATTCCAAAGCGTTGAACCAGGGGTGGCCAGTCAGTCTCCTTTACACACCCGAGCCATCAGACTCCTGTCCGTCTACTTGTGCTCACTGCGTGGAAAAGAGAAAGCTGTGCAGATTAGGAGTGAGAAGATGTGAGTGAAAGGTGGGAGTGTTTTTGTATTTGAAGCCACTTCTTATTTAGAAACACTGGCTTATAATTTAGAAACACCGGCTCTGTAAACAAAGAAACAAACGGACATTTTTTTTCATGCAGCGCACAGTCAACCTGTGGAACTCCTTGCCAGAGGATATTATGAAGACCAGGACTTTAACGGGGTTCAAAAAAGAACTAGATAAATTCATGGAGCTTGGGTCTATCAATGGCTGTTAGCCAGGATGGGTAAGAATGGTGCGCCTAGCCTCAGTTTGTCTGGAAATGGATGACAGGCGAGGGATCATGTGATGATTATCTGCTGTGTTCACTCCCTCTGGGGAGTCTGGCGTTGGCCACTGTTGGCAGACAGGCCCTCCCCTCTGGGGAGTCTGGTGTTGGCCACTGTCGGCAGACAGGACATTGGGCTAGATGGACCTTTGGCCAAGGCCAGCTACCTTCTCAGCGACGCTTCTGGAGTCCAAATCTAAAGAGGATGTTTCTGGGACCAGCTCACCTTAATTCCTCGTGCTACCATGTTGCAGGAGTAGGGATTAAATAATCACAACCTTTTAACAAGGGAAATGAGGCCTCTGCTGAGTAACTCTATGACCTTTTCACTGTAATCTTCCTTCTGCCTCGCTTCATTTCCCCCTCTTGCACGATTGATCCCTGCCCTCCCGTGGCAGCTGAGGCTGGAGGGGGCGAAGTTCACGGTCGTCTTCAGTTAAGCACCTCATAAACTTTTGGTGGCTGTAAAACCACAAACCCTATAAACACCGCTAGTAATAGGCTTCTCGCAATGAAAAACTGGTTGCTGCCTTGTAAAGACTTAGGAAATGTTTCTTCCCAGGATTCCCGAGAAAGCCCTGTAAACAGTGCCAAGTTTATGCACAAGCTAAGTAAGCCACAGTTTTAAGTCTCAGATTATGAGGGGCCTCCAAAGACAAACAAACAAACAAACAAACTTAGTTTTTTAGTTGCATCCCTGCCTCTCTATCGTTCTATATGCAAATAGGAAACTTTATTGTTTCTATTTCCATTGTCCTTTCTGTTAGAATAATACACATTTTTTGTTAATGGTACGGAGCCTCTTAAATTGGACAGAGTTTAGGGCCTCAGCATATCTTCATTCGGCCCTGCCCGTAAAGTTCGTATGCAATGAACAGGGCTGCAAGAAATGCTGCGTTTTGTTCTGTTTTGCAGCTAGAAACACCCCCGAGGGGTGAACTCACCTTAAAGCAGAACACAAACGGCCTCTACCTTTGTCAAAGTAGAGTATTTGCCAATCAGCCATTTGGGATTTACACCAACAGTGAGGTAATTTATCGGGGGGGGGGGGGGGTTTATTGACCCTCTTTCCAATCTTACTGTTAGTTGCTCAGCTGGGGAAAGCTCTCTCGGTGCCAAGTCGAAATTATGCCATGCGTCCTTTTCCCATGTACAGGAAATCTGTCACTGCTAGTTACGGTCAGGCAAGGCTGTAATTATAGCAATACAAAAGTGTTTTGTGCATCATGCACGTGGTTTGAGACAAATAGTAATTCTGTGATCTACCTTGGCAAAAAGACTGGCTTCAGACAGTCTAGTAATGGTGAGGAGTCTATACAGGTTGGACCTCCCTGGTCCGGCACCTGGCTTGTTCCAGACAAGGGAGTATGCCGGACCAGGGGAGGTCTGGGGACGGCAGGGGAAGGGAGGGGCTTCCAGCCTCCCCACTGGGCTCTTCTCTCCAGCCACCTGGATTCATCGCCCCAGCCTCCTGGCCCTCCAAGGTAGGACAGCCCCACTGGAGTTCCCAGTGGCCCTGCTGGCTTCCTTGCCCTGTCGACTGCAGGCTCTGGTGCTTTGTGGGCTCCGCTGCCCCCACCAGCCGGCACCTCTCTGAACCGCGGCAACCTCTGCCGCTGGGACTCTTTGGTCCCTCAACATCTGTGCTCCTGCCGGACCATGGATGTTGCTGGACCAGAGAGTCCCAGACCACAGAGGTTCAACATATATTCCTGCCGCGTGCTGTACAATGCTGATAATATTTGCTCTGACTGTCTCAAGTCAATTGCTACCGAGCAAATGATTGGCTATTTGAATTTGGCTCTGGACATATTTACAGAGAGCCACACACACACGCTGAACATAAATAGAACTCTAGGGCTCCGAACAAAAGTATTCAGAAAGTCAGGGCTGGCTGGAACCATGGCTGAACACACTGCAACGTTTTCAACTTTCAGAGCCTAACGTCAGGCTCTAACTACAAGTAACCAGATTTACAGAATCAGAATAGCACAGAATCAGAGACCTCGGGAGGTTACGTCCAGCCCCTGCACTGAGCCACCAAGTAAACCTAAACCTTGCTGGAGAGGTGTTTAACCCCAGAGTGCGCAAAATACGGCCAGCCCATGTATCACTTCTGTCCAGCTCATGGTGCAGCAGGGGGCTCAGGCAGCTCACCTGCTGTGCCGTGTCCCCATGCCACTCCCAGAAGCTGCATCCCGGCAGAAGGGGGAGGCAGCTTTGTGCACTGCCCCCATTGGCTGGGACTGGGACATGGGAGCTGCAGGGGTGGTGCTGCAGGTGCAGGCAGTGCATGGAGACCCGCTGCCCCCCTGCCTCCCAGGGCACGCAGAAAGGTGCCAGCAGCAGCATGGAGAATGGGACAAGGCACCAGCTCCTCGGTGGGAATAGGGGAGGCATAAGCACAGGGTGCCAGATGGCACTGGGGCGGAGGAGGGAAACCATTGGGTGCCAGCTCCCTTCCCAGCCTGAATCTGGCAGCCCCCCAAGTCTCGGTAGCTTCCCTCAGTACCCCATCCTAGCTCTCTGTTCCACAGTGTGGTGTATGAACATTTCAGCAGAGACAGGATGGTCGGAAGTCTCCGACACACTGTCTAAGGTACTTCACTGGCCCCCTTCACTGGAGTATCTGAGCACCTCACATTCTGGAATGTATTTATCCTAGCAGGGCAGTGCTGCTATCACTATACAGACAGGAAGTGAGGCTAAGTGATATGCCCAAGGTCACCCAGGCAATCCCTCTGGTGCGGCAGGGCAGTGCTACTATCACCATACAGATAGGAAGTGAGGCTAAGTGATATGCCCAAGGTCACCCAGGCAATCGGTGGCACAGCAAAATACTGACTGCAGGGCTCCTAAGCTCCAGGACAGCACCCATTCCACTGAATACTCCTTCCCCTCATTTTGATGACAGGTCAGGAGGGAAACGACACAGACATACCCCTAGAATTCTGTCTGCCTATTGTTTAAAAGCTATTCTTTGATTTATGGTCTCCCAATTTACTCCTATTGTTCCATTGGTGTCCGCTTTGCATTTTAAAAGCTATTCTTTGATTTATGGTCTCCCAATTTACCTCCCCGAACACGAATGACGTGATTTTGCCTAGGCCAAGCTTTCACGCTACCGGCCAGGATGCAAGAATGCAGACGTGGTCTGCAGCAAGCACGTGACAGAGGGGCTTCGGTAGGTACAACAGAGGGATCCCGCAGCTGTTTCTTCAAACACAGCATTAGTGTTGGAGACATTGAGGACTCTGCTACAGAGCACGTCGGATTCACTCCTCATAGCTGACTAAACACCGATCTGACACATGGACAGGACACTGTTTCCAGCCCAAAAGATTCCAAAGAGACAAGGCAAGTTAGGAGGAAAACGATCCCCTCCCTTCCAAATTAAAAACAACCACTTACACACGGAGACACAGCATATCTTTGGCACCAGGAAAGGATATGGCGTATGCTCTGCATGATGGCCAGATTAGGGTCTGCAATCAAGCGAAACATTAAAAGCAAGATTAAATGAAACCTTTCAAGCCATGTCACCTACCGGCTGCTCTGTTTGGTGTGCCGGAATTGCGGCCAGTCAAATTTTTGTGAAATAAAAGAGCCATACATGGGGAGTTTCTGAATTCCTCCTGTTCTCAGTCACACGTTTTATTAGACGATAAACACTGAATTATAAACACAAGCAGAGAGCAGCATTTGGAAATGCTACATGGGCAAACGAGCACTGATGGTTCTATATTCGCAGTGATGTCAGAAATGTAACAATCGGATTCCGAATGACAGTGAGGTAGCGCTACAAGACAGGGGTATAATAGTTTTCACATCATAAGCTACAGACACATCGTTCAGAGGAAATCTAAGGCTTCAGAAAGCAAACAGTTCATCTTGTAAAGGAATAATCTAGCGACACATGTAATTTAGATTCCATCCAGGCAGATAGTCAATTTGAAAAATAAATGCTTCTGTTCACAGAACACTGAAACCAATGTATGACAAACAGGCTATTTTTTATGAATTGCTGATATTTAGCTATTTTGTAGGAATTATGCTCTTGCCCGAGGGTTACCCTGGTAACAACGACTCTTTCCTTAAATAAATTTTATAAATGTGCTACCACATCTAACAAAGAGGCAGACACCACAGACTTTAATTGCCCTTAGTTAAAGGGACAGGACTGAAATTTCCTTGGCGTTCACACAACGGCAGTTTTTGTAGTCTGCTACTTTTCTGCTCTTCCTGCATTCTGCCAGTTTTCAAAGGCTACCTGCCCCTGAATCAGACAGAAATGTCACCAGACACAAGAAACTGTCAGTGAACCAGCAGCTTCTACATTTTGGTGGCCTGCAGAAAGCATCTAGAAGCATCTAGACGGACGACCCTTGGAAATTTAAATGTAGAAACTTTGTCAACAGATTTTTTTTTAAGGGCAAGAGGAACATGCTACTCTGTTACAAACTTATCAGGCAGATACCTGTGCTCTATGTTAATTGCATTGTTAAAGTTCATTGCAGATCCCACATTACAGCAATCCATAGCAAACACCAGCAGGAGAGAAGGTAGCGTCATTTGTTTAATAAAGTATTTTCCTTTATAAAAAAAGTATGCTAAGACACACATATTTCACATAATAAATTATCAGTGTCCAGGTTTTTTTTAAAAAACACATGAAAAAGACTGTACTTCCAAACCTGGTGTTAGGCAGAGATGGTGCAATACACAGCAATATACACAGATTTATACGTTGCTATGGAAACAGGGAGCGCATGACACTGCACAAAACGGGACTAAAAATACAAGCTTGCTTTCAGACAGCTTCAAGAATGAAAATCATAATTTGAGGGGGGAAAAAACCCTGATTTATTTTTGGAAATTGATCGTGTGCTCTGTCACCATATGTTCTGTTATAATTTGTGTAAAACTCATCACCCTTCCTTCAGGAACCATGTGAAAACAAACAGGGATACACAGAAAAATGTTGGGACTAATTTTCACTACTACTACCACATTGTAACTGAAACGGGTAACGTCCCTTTGGTTGTTTTCAGTGCAGAATGATGTAGAGTCACAATTTCTTATTTTCCTGCTTTTCTTTCTTTTCCAAAGTCCTTTAAGAGTGACTCTGAGGAGAATGTAAACTGTGAATTCTTAAGGATCCAATAGAGTCTTGGTATGACAAACTGTTAAATGGAAAAAGAAAGAAGAATATCAATAGAGACATACAGGCAACGGACATGCTTCCTTCAAACCATGTACAGAAAAATAGCTTGGCTTGCAGTCACAGCATTTGAATTGATCCTGAATTATCAGTTGACACTGTGTGGTTAGGCTGACTTTCAAATGCTCTCACATAAATAGCAGTGTCTCACGACAGAGTCAAACGTTACATCTCATCCATGAACATTTTCCCGTTGCCCACTTATCTACGCCACGCCAGAGCAGTGCTCCGTTTCAAACCCAAGAAAAAAAAGTGCATGGCTAAGGAGCTAAAAGAAGTAATTCACAGGACCCCACCAAAAGGAAAAGCCCACATCCCGTGGGGAGATATGCAGATTTGTATTCGTGCAGCGTAATGGTGACGCCTAAACTGTTGAGCTATTAATAAGATGGCGCAAAAATTTACTAAGTGCTTCCCTTCTCGCCAAATTTTAAAATAAAACGCTGCCAACATGGACGGCATCTTTTGCTCTGAAGCAAAGACCATAAAATAGTAAGCTCTTAAATGCAACCCCTCCCCTCCCTCTCCTTCTGGCCTGATTTCAGCAGTGATATTTCACAGAAACCTAATTTGTTTGGATTGCAGCGGAGAGAAGACAAATAATTCTCCTATCCATAACAAAATGACTTTGGTAAACAGCACTGCATTAGATCTCATTAGAAATCCTGCACTCTCGTCTGTCAACCCCCCTGGCATAACCCGCGCATACACACTGCCATGGGTCACAGCTCCTTTTGTTTACTGAAGTGCACTAGAAGTAGTATCAATACAGAGACAGTAATGGCTGTATGGAAATGCAAGATTCACTGCATGTGTAATATGCCACCCGCGTATGAAAAACGAAGGGATCGTCTAGTTTAGCATAAGATGTTTTGAAGAGGGAACTGCAGGCTAGCTGGTGGTGGTAAGCCAGCAGGACGGTAACAGGCAGAGGACATGAACAGAGCTGAGGACTGGAGCGTGGGACTGTATTACTCAGCAGAGGGGCTGACACAGTTGCCGGGCACCTGGGCATGGTGGCGGCAGGGGCCTGGCTCCACCCTCCACCCTCCTGGAAGGGGCGGGGCCTTAGGTGGAAGGGGCAGGGCTGGAGCTGCCTGGAGCGTGCCATGCCCCTCCCCAGGCAGCTGGGAACACAGTGCATGGTGCTCCTGCCACTATTTAACCGTCCAGGGCTCTAGCTGCCACCGCTGCTGCACTAATAGCAGCCAGGAATCCTGGGCCAGGAATCGCTAGGCTCCGGGGCACTTCCCCCTCCCCCATCGCCAGGCCTCTCAGTCAGTGATTCCAGGCTCAAGAAATATTTGGACTTAATGGTTTCTTTGGCTTCCTGCCCAAGATCTTCCCGGAACAGGCTAAAGCCCGGAGAGAGAATCCCCTCACGCAACTAGATTCCTTCTTTCACTCAGTCCAAGAGGCGCGTGACCTACCACACCGGGGAATTCATTCCTGTAGGCCCCACGCCCCAGACTGCACCACAGATCACAGCAGCTCACTAATCAATGCCTGAGCCAAATCAGAGCCCAACCTGAGGGTCACGGCTGTGGTAGGAGAGGCAGGCCAGGTCTAACTACCACTCTGGTAAAGAATGAAAAGAAGTAACACACAGATCTCAAACGCCCATTCAAGGGAAGCACTGTTTTCCTCTTAGCAAAGGGTTAAATTGCCAAAGGTGCCCCTATGGATTATTGCTTTTCAGTGGCATGCGGGCACCTACATCTCCTAGGCACATCTGAAAAGTCTACCCACATCAGTAGACGTGTCCAAAGGACAAGTGGGAAGCACTATCTTGGAGACCTGAAACATGTCAGAGATTACAAGGTACTAAGGGATGTGGCAATTAGAGAGGGCTAGATGTTGGACTAACACATCTCAAATACCACAGGAATGGGCAAAAACCATCCTGGGGGCTGGATGTGACCTGCCAAGCCTTTTAATCTGGCCCATGGCCTGCCCCTGCAGTACAGAGCTGTGCCACTCAAAGCTGCTCCCTGTGGCTCTCTGCACTGTAGGGGGCAGGAGGGAGCCGGGGCAGGAGGCTTCCTGTATTGTGCCCACCCCCGGTGAAATCTCTCAGTTCCCACTGGCAGGAAACCAGACAATAGGAGCGGAGAGATTTTGCTGGAGGCAGGAGCAGTGTAGCACAATTTCTCAGCTCCCATTGGCCAGTTTCCAGCCAACAGGAGTTGAGAGATTTTGCAGGGGGTGGGGGCGGCACGTGAAGCTTCCTCACACAGTTTAAAGAGCCACATGGAACAGCCAGTCACTGAGTGATCTGGGGCTGCTGGCAGGCAGGGAAGCCTGCTTGAGCGTGTTGCTGGGTGGGAGCTGCTTAGATAAGTGCCTCCGAGCCAGAGCCTGCCTCTGGGACCCTGCCTCCTCCCGCTACTCAACTCCTTCCCAGACCCTGCCCCCCCTCCTCTCCCCTCCCCCAGGCCAGAATCCTCTCCTGCATCCATACCCCTCTCGGACTCTGTGCCACAATCCTCTGCCCCAGGTCACAACCTTACTCCTTCACCCAAACTCCCTCTCAGACCCCCCACTACCTCCTACGCTCTGGTCCCCTACCCAAGCTCCTCTCTGCACCCAACCTCCACCCCAGACCTCACATCGGCTCCGTAGGCCACTTACTAAAAACTCGGAGTGTTCCCCATCAAAAAGTATTGCTCACCCTTGCAATGAATGAATAGAGAGAGCCATCCTCAAAAAAATACTGACAAACAGCAGGAAGGGAGGGAGTCGCGAGTGGGTGACTCGTTTCTGGTGTATCTTCCACTTTTAGATTGATTCCATACCAACTTTTGGAGAGGGAATGGCTTCTGGAAATCAATGATGGCGGCCATTGCTTTTCACAGAGATGCCTCCCTACGGGGGAAAGCCAGGAGGGCAACATATTTCAGTGCTTGTCCATGCCAAAGAGGATAAAGAATAACACTTCTAGCCAGGCCACGACAGAGCCCGAGAGTCAGAATGTACTGGAGTCCCGCGAGAATCAGATCCAGATTCAGCTAACTCTCTCTCCACTAGATCTGGATGATGACAGACATGAGTGGCTGTTGGGAGTTGAGTAGTTTCTCCCAAAGGGACTGGGTTCTACTAGCCCTAGCGACTGTCAGGATGTGGGGTTATTCTCTCAGCCCAAAGGGGTCCCAGCTTGCTTTGTTTTTACAACTAATATTTTTATGAGGGTCACAACTATGTGCATTATTTTCACTGAGGTGTATTAAAGGCCAAAGTTCACATCTCGAGCCAAACTAAGGGGCTTGATTTTCAGTTGCACCAAGGCCACTGTGCACTCCTCTGGAAGAGAAGCCTTTACATGGAAGGATGTTACTTGTGTGCCCCCCCGAAGGCCCCTCAATGGTGCCACCCTCCTGGAAGGGGCGGGGCCTTGGGTGGAAGAGGCGGGGCTACAGCAGCCAGCCCTCAGTGCTGCCTGGAGTGGTGTAAAATGGCTTGGGTGTACGTGGGACTCAAGCCCAGCTGTTTTTAAAGGCAAGGCATTTTGAAAAAGAAAGCAGCAAAGAATTCTCATCGCACCAGGAAAGCCCGGGGTTGTGTCTGAAAAGAGAAGGATGAAAAAGTATAACTGATGGTGCAGCCAGATTATGTAGACAATGGATATAAATGGAGGAAGGGTTTCTGCTGGTAGAGAGAGAAAGAAAATAAATGATTATTATGATTGGTCTGGTAGATCGAGACTGATGGAACCTGGAGCGTGATAACTCACCAGCTGATCTGTGGATCCCTGGTGACAGAACAGTGACTGACTAAGCCCAGGTGGGAGCAAGATTAATTTGCTCAGTGCAGGATACTTCATTCTAATCGCAGCAAGGTCAGATCAGGACAAGAGCTGCAGAAAAAGTATCTTATTCTGCTTAATGTCAGAAGATAGAGCTGACTTTGTCATAATCTCTTAAAGGAGACACATTACAACCCTGACTTCACTAGCTGGAACGGGGTGATGGCTAAGAGCTGGCATGATGATTGTTGCGAACAGAAAAGCTCCCTCATGCTTCTCGCTGGTGTGCCTTCAAGCAAGGGGGTAAGAAAACCAGAAGCAGCTTTTAGCAGTTTCATGTCCATTTGATAAAATAAGCAAGTTACGTTTCTTCCTGATCTATGCAGAACTGATGATAGCCTGGGAATGCTAACCGAATGGGAAGGTATTTTCTCATATTCAAAGGAAATTTTTGCACAAGATTTTTCATTTAATTCACTTTCTTGATCTATGTGACTTAACTTAAAACCTTTGCCCAACTGAGTTTTGCATCAGGCATTCACAGAGGTTTTCATGGCTCTTTTATGAAGCTTCTGCAACACATCTCACTTATTTTCCAACAAAGAGATGTTAGATGAAAGGTACGTCTGAGCAGAGATGTTAACGGAGGGTGTCCTAAAAACTTTGGCCTTAGAGGTTCATATAATATCCTCTAGGCAAAACTCAGACCTCCTAACAAACAGCCTGCCCACCCACTCACCTCCACCTTTATATTCCATCCTCTTACCTCACCCCTTTACAAACCAGAATCCGGGAATGTGTGAGGATTCCCTGTTCTGTTCATTCCCTCTGGGGCACCTGACATTGGACACTGTAAGAACAGGAGACTGGGCTAGTTGGACTTTTGGTCTGACCCAGTACGGCCGTTCTTACGTTCTTAACCATCAATTCCATGGTCGTATTTCCCCACAATCCATTAATTACATTCCACCCAAACCATCAATCTTTCAAAGCCTCCCCTACCCTTGTGCCCTTCAACCTACCATGCTGCTCCTCACAAGCACATGTGCCATTTCTTCCACACAAGTGGCTTTTGTTTACGATACAGCTGGCTTTATTAGAAGCTTGGAGACACACGACAAACCAGTTTTCACTAGCTGGGACAAGGCTGGGGGAGCTAAATGGTAAATGGTATTGCCGCTAATGGAAAAGTCCTATCAAACAGTCTGGTTTGTGTGCCTTAAAGCAACAGGGTAAGAAAAAGAAAAGCTGCTTTTAGCAGTTTTATGTCCATTTGACAAAATAAGCAAGTCACATTTCTTCCTGACAGATGCAGAACTGTCAGTCGCCTGAGAACTCTACCTGAAATGGAAGAAGTGTTCTTATCTTCAAAGGAAATTGTACATTTCATCCCTTTCCCAGACCATCAATCCTACTCCTATTCTTCTGCCTTTCAACTCACCATGTTTCTTCCACACAGGTGGCCTGAAAATTCTGGCTAAATGAGAGGTAGGGTACGTCTAGACTACATGCCTCTGTCGCCAGAGGCATGTAGATTAGGCTACCAGACATAGGAAAATGAAGCGGCGATTTAAATAATCGCCGCGTCATTTAAATTTACATGGCTGCTGCGCTGAGCCAACAAACAGCTTATCAGCTGTTTGTCGGCTCAGCGCGATAGTCTGGACGCGTGGGTGGCGACATCAAAGGTATTTGTCGACCACCCAGGTAAACCTCATCCCAGGAGGGGAAGAGAATATCTTTTACTGGAGCACCTGTTCCTGGTAGACACAAGCTTTGGAGCCACATACAGCTGTTCCTCAGGGCCTGGAAAGGAATTCACGGCAAAACGCAAAGTGGAACTTACGCTACCAGCACATATTGTAAGGGACCATTTGCGCCCCTCTGCAGCCACAGGACAAAAAGAGGGGGCTAATACGTTACAGATGGTTGTAATAAGACATAAATCCAGTTCTGCTAGTCAGTCCATGATTCAGTCTAGCAGAGTCATGAGTTTCAGCTCCCAGATTCATGTCTTGAAAGCGAGTAGGGGTTTCCTTTGAGGATGAGTGCTAGCAGGTCAGAAATAGAGTTATCACTTGGGCTATGTCTAGACTACAGGGTTTTTTTTAAGGGGCCTTTTTTCAAAAAAAACTTCACCTGCATCTAGACTCCCAACGCGTTCTTTCGAAATTAAATCAAAAGAACATTGTGGGTTTTTTGACCGTAAACCTAATTTTACGAGGAAGAATGCCTTTTCTCGAAAGAGCTCTTTCAAAAAAAGGCGTTTTTGACTGCAAACAGGGCTTTTTTGAAAGTGTGTATCCAGATTGCCTGGGTGCTCTCTTTTGAAAAAGCAGATCGCCTTTTCGAAAAAGCTGTGGCTGTCTAGATGATCGCTTTCGAAAAAACCTCTTTCGAAAGAGGCTTATAGTCTACACGTACCCTTGGAGAAAAGTGTTCGGCCACACGTGATAGGGGTTTTTTGGTCTTTATTACTTTCCCTAGAGAGTTCACTTGCAAGTGCTGTGATATGCTCTGAGGAGGATGTCCAGAACACACACAAAACTACGTCCACCAAACAAGGGCATCCCTCCAGAGAAATCATCCATGATGAGGAGACCCTCTTTCATAATGAATATCCCCCCACCCCCACAAGAGCCCCACAGGCTAGTACCTGCAAACAAGGGTATCAGTAGTATGCCTTTTGGGCCTCTGCAAGGTGACCGTCAGAATATCCAGGCAAGTGACAAGGATTCGTACCTGAGACCTGCTTTGGAAGATCAAGGCTCCCTTTCAGAAGACACATCTCCCTCTGCTCCACTGCTTGCACTGGGGTCATCCTTGTTCCGAGGGGCATTCCTTTCTCTGCTCGATTCGGAGGGTACCTTGGCTCTAGTCTTCTCTTTCCTTTGCTGCTGTTTTTCAAGCTTTGTCAGCTAGTCACCAAAAGAGAGGGAAAGAAATAAGTCACAGAATGTGAATCGGGCTAACAAACAACAGAGCCAAAAGCTTCCTGAATCTGAACCTTTCTTCCCCAACTCCGATAAACCCCTTTTCCGTTGTCCTGAGGAAGGAGAAGCATTCGTTAGATGTGATTTCTGTGGATCAGAGCAGTGGATAGAAGGGCCCTCCTTCCCACACCCTTCTTTGGAGGGAGACATCTGTGGAAGACATAGTACCCAGTCATTTGCTAATATGCAACACTGATTAAAAACCTGGATCAAAAGAGGAAAGTGCATTTAATTACAGAGGCCCGGAACAACAAACTAACTTAAATGCTGCAATGCTGGCTTTTAGATGGCAAGAAAAATCACAAGAACACGACTGCAACCCATAAGCCCTGGGTGGGGTGCCCTGTACAGTAGGGATGATAAATATCGAATAATTGAGTAACCTCAAGAATTCTTATCGGTTAGTCGACTATTCTATAGTCCATGGGGGCGGGGCCAGCAGCCAGTGCACTCCAGCTTCTCTCCTGAGGAGCCCCCTGCCACTCTTTGGTGCTGCCTCTGTATCAGGGGCAGCAGAGCTGGGTGCCAGGCAGGAGCTGGTCCGCGAGGGGAGCTGGTGTAAAAACCAGCTCCCCTCACGGACCGGCTGCCTGTTGCCCTGTGTTGCTACCTCTGATAAAGAGGCAGCAGCACGGGGTGGCAGCAGCCCCTGTCTAAGAGGGGTGTCTGAGCTCCTGGACCCAGTGCAACCTAGAACTGAACCAGGCTGCCTGCCCACCCGGCTCCTAATACACTTTAAATGCAGAGTCACAGCAGAGGTAGGTCCTGGACCCATTTCAAGCCAGGGCTGAGCCGGACTGCCGTCCAGCCTGCTAAAAAATTTACTGGCAAGTGGTGGCGGCTGTGGTGGTGGAAATATGTGTAGTCTATAGCATTCACCTGTAAGCTTTTGCTTATCGGTTCATCGACTGCACTACTAAGTCCCTACTATACAGCAAGTGGGAGACAGGTGCCTCAGAATGCTAGTGACAAAATTAAGAGCATGAGGCAAAAAGACAGGGCCGGGGGGTTAAGCAAACCCACCCAGTCCGGCGGTGAGGGTGGGCACCCGGAAGGTACGACACCCAGGGTCCAAGCTCCCAGCTCCAATCACTCGCTCATTGATTAGCCACAGTGGAACAGCTTCAACGGGAGAGACTGAGGCTCCCCACGTCAGGCTGTCCCATAGCTCAGTGGTCAGAGCCTCCTCCTGGGAGGTGGAAGACCCCTTGGCCAATCCTCTCCCTGCTTCTTGCACATCCCAGGGCGCTACGCTAACCACTGGGCCGAAAGTTTAAAAGTGGGCACTTCCACCTCCTCCTCGGAACAGGATTCGATCCAACAGGCAGCCTCCGAGCACGCCTACCAATGGAGCTCTGCGATGGAGTTAGGCAGCCCAACGCCTGTCTTTCCTGGCTCGGGAATCGCTCTGGGCTCCAGCAGGAGAAAGGTGCCTACAGATAGGCAGCAGCGTGCGTGCCCAGAGGCAGATATTTAGGCATGAAAGGGAATTTTTACCCTGAAAACTTAAATGCCAAGTGAGTTCAGATGCCTACAGAGTCCAGTGGGATTGTGAACTGCGGTGGAGCCAGACGCCTCGTTTAGGCGGCTACATCCAAACTTCAGTGTTTAAGTCTGGGGTTTAGGTGCCTAAGTCCCTTTGCAGATCGAGGCCGAAGCTCTTAGAGAATTCCAATGGAAACCCACCAGCTCTACCGCGTTGGGTTTTAGAGGGGAAGCAGAATTTCAGAATGTGATGACTATGGGTACATCTAGACTATGTTTGTCTGCCAAAAGAAGATATGCAAATGCAGTGCAAATTTGAATATCTTTTTGGAAGAGGGGTTTTTTTTCGAAAGTGAAAGCAGTTTAGATGGGTTTTTTAAAAAAAACAACCCATTTTTCAAAAGAATCCTTCTTCCTTAAAAAAAGAGGTGTACACGGTTCTTTTGAAAAAGGGGGGTTCTTTCAAAAAAAAAAAAACCCGTCAAAACTGCTTTCACTTTTGAAAAAACCTCCTCTAATAATACGATTAGAATATATGCAAATTAGCTCTGCATTTGCATCTCTTCTATCAACAGGTGAACGTAGTCTAGATGTACCCTAAAGCAAAGCCAGGCACTGAAGAGAGACATTTTGTGTTCTGAGACCCAGCCCAGAGGACATGGTATGGGGAGTTTTAGGTTACGTCGACACAGCAGCTCTTTTCTGGGAGACTGAAGGTATCCTGGAAAAGCTATGCTGCATCCAAGGAAAACATCCACTTTTCCAAAAAAAATTTCAGAAGAGCGAGTGCGTTCTTTCGCCATCCTTGTAAACCTGTACGAGGAATAAGGGATTCGCCAAAAGAGGTTTCCCCGAAATTTGGTGCCGTGTACACACACCTAATGTTGGAAAAGCCTTCTCCGAAAGAAAAGCGGAAAAAAATACGCAAATTGTGAAGCGCAATTTGCGTATCCTTTTCCAATTTTTCTTAATGGTGTGGACACAGCCTTAGTTTCATGGAGAGAAACTCTAGTACGCTCCAAGGCGAGGGAAACAGAGCACCTCATTCCTGGCACATCAAAGAGAAATCTCTGCTAACAGTGCAGAGCTAATATTCAAAAGGAAAATCACAAAGAAATCATTTTTCAATGCAGAAGTCTTCAACCCAATGTGAAAAATCGAATGAAATTGAACGCAGGTATCACTTTGGCATTTGTCTCCCATTTTTCCGAGAAGCAGCCTACCACACGTGTCAGGTATATTGCTTATCAATAGCTACCTGCTGACTAGAGACATTTCATGATTTTTGTTTATCAGTTGATTTGATTTTTGGTAATCTACTGTAATTTATCAGACTGCTTTTTCCAATTTCTTCTGGGTTAATCATGTGTTACCTGCAAATCATCGTTTCAAGGCCAGCAGGACTTTTAGGGAATGAAATCCACAGAGAAGGAATGGAGTTAGTTTAGGTGCTACTATATAGCAAGCTGAGAAACAGCTTTGTTTGCCTGTCTAATCGTTTAATTCATTCATACCATGCAGTATATTGATAAGTCTCAAGGACAAGTGTGTAATATTTCACCATATATATATGTATCACCTACATGTACAACATTCTAAACAGGGATGCACGATCCTACTGAAAATGCTAACCACTTAAACTATGTTTTACCGGCCCACTGCATTGTGCTGTGGACCTGGTTGGGTTAGAATACCCCCTGCCCATAGTGTGGTGGGCCCGCTGGGATGGGTGCCAGTTATCTGGTTACCAGTAAGCATCACCCGATAAGGTAACGCTTACCAGTTAACCAGTTACCCATTTGTATCCCTAATTTTAAATCTCATATTATATAACAGGCGCATGATTTTCCCGACAATCCTACAGATAAAACATTCACTTGCTGTATGTGTTAAGTGACCATGGAAATTGGTACATTTGCATCCAAGGAAACTTACGGTACGTTTCCAAGGTTAAAAACAAAAACAAAAAACCATGGCAGCAACTCTCAGAGCCCAGTAAGTGACTCCGGCTCAGACTCACTGCTGTGGAAATTTTTCTGGGGAACATTGGTGACCCTAAATTAGAATGGTTCATTTAAGAACATTTATCATTTGTGGCTATTCAACTTCCCGTGAAGCACTGATGTGTGGGACACGCAGTTCGTTGGTGGGGTTATTTATGGTGCAGTAACTGGTAACCTCCAAAGCCCAAAATCAGAAACAGAGCCTCATGGAGCTCAGCCCGGCATAAACACGACTGTCCCGATGGCCAGGAGTTTACAATCTAATCTGAAAAGCAACACAAGTATGACAAATTACAGAAGGGAAGGTAAACAGAGGGTGATGGGACAGTGATGGAAATTCCACAACCTCCCTAGGCAACTTATTCCAGTGTTTAACCACCCCGACAGACAGGAAGTTTTTCCCACCTAAACCTCCATTGCTGCAGTTTAAGCCCATTGCTTCTTGTCCTAGCATCAAAGCCCAAGGAGAACAATTTTCTCCTTCCTCCTTGTTAACACCCTTTTAGATACTTGAAAACCGCTATCATGTTCCCCCTCAGTTTTCTCATTTTCAAACTAAACAAGCCCAATTCTTTCAGTCTTCCCTCATAGTTCATGGTTTCTAGACCTTTAACTATTCTTGTTGCTTTTTTCTGGACTTTCTCCGATTTTTCCACATCTTCCTTGAAATGTGTTGCCCAAAACTAGACAGTGCAGAGTGGAGCGGAAGTAGGAATAAGACCCTCCGGAAAAGGGCACCTTTTTCCGGAGGATCGGGGCCAGTGTAGACGCTCTTTTCCGGCTTTTTTAAAAGCCGGAAAAAAGCGGCGGACATTTTTATTTAAATGCCGCGGGGGATATTTAAACCCCCCGCGGATTTCCCTACTTCCGGAAAAGGGGCCAGTGTAGACGAGCCCCTCGTGTCTTGCTCACAATAGTCCTGTTAATGCATCCCAGAATCATGCCTGCTTTTTTTTGCAACAGTGTTATGCTGTTGACTCTTAAAGACGCAGAATATCCTCTCTAAACAGCCATGAAGTCGGAGCAAAATAAATCCTTGGAAAAAAACAAAGAGTCCTGCAAAACGTTTTCCAGTGGTCACAGTAAATAATATTTTGAAGGATGTGCTGACTTGTTTTCTTCAAGAAGAAAAATATGAAGCAGAGCTAGGCAGACAAATGAGAAAGACTACCTCTGAAGTTATTAAGGCTCGAGTAAAAGCACTTATGATACCAGGGTACAAAATTATTGTGATTGTGTATATTGGACAACTAAATAAACAGAGCATGCAAATTGGAAGCAGATGTGTTTGGGATCCTGCGGGTGACACACTGTCATCATATGATTTCAAAAATACCTCACTATTTGCTCTTGCAAATGTTTGTGCTGTTTATTTTGAATAACAAAAAGGTCTAGTTTTATCAGTGGAAGAAAAATATCTAACTTATGTTTATATTA